CTTGCTCCGGAGCAAGCCCTGCGGGGCCGTGCACATGCCCCGCACGTCACGGGGCCGGGGCCCGGCTCCCGCCCGCCTCATCCTCATCACCACCGGGAGGCAGGCGTCGGCCGCGACTGATCCTTACCGGGCCCACTTCACGGATGTGGAAACTGAGCACCAGAGAGGCCCAGCAACATCCCCAAAGTCACACAGCAACGTCACAGCCAGAATTCCAACGCAGATTCCAGGCCTCTGGCCAACAGCCCCGAGGCGCTCCCGGCCCAGAGGAGGCCCGAGACAGAGGGAATTTAAACCCAAGTGCCCAAAACCCCAACACTGCCCTCACCCCAGGGGCGGCCCCCCTCAACAGGAATGGGAACCACAGGTGTCGGTGAGACCGGGGATCGCCCTCCAGCACACCATGGCCCCTGGCAGCCCCCCGGCCCCACCCCCACGCCCTGCCCAGAGGAGGCCCAGGCCCAGAGAGCCCAGAGGACTGCTTACAGCCCCTGATGGGGAGACTGCCCACAGGTGGACGGACAGACGGCGGCAGCAGGAGGAAACTCAGCCCGGCCAGAGGCCTCCCTCCGAGGAGCTGGCTCCGGCTAGGACCTGGGGGCACCCGGCCACGGGGCATGAGCCCACGTCCACACAACATCCAGACCAGGCAGGTCCGCAGGGACAGAGCAGAGGGGTGGGGGTGACGGCTGAGGGGTGCAGGGTCCTTTGTGAGGGCGGTGAAAATATTCTCAAACTGGTGACGTCTGCAGGAGTCTCACTCCGCCAAGATCTGTCAAGTTGGGTATTTTAGGTGAGTGAACGGTACAGCCTGCGAACTAGTCCTCAACAAAGCGGTGCCCCAAAAACCACAACGGCCCCTCCAAAGTGCTAGGGGCATATTTCTTCTTCCCTCGCCCCGGGTCCTGCCAGGGAGGGGCCTGGTCAGGTCTGAGGGACGCTGGCCACACAGGGTGACCACGTGCCTGGCTTAGCAAGTCACCTACAGATGCGCTCACTTAGCTCCCCGCCCCACAAGTGGCACCGTCTCCCCAGTTTACAGAAGGGGAAACTGAGGCCAGAGCAGAGGTCAGGGCAGCGCTGGGATGTGGGCCCAGGCTTCTGGACACTGTCCCCCTGGGGCGGGAGTCCGGGTGGGGCCCCAGCACGTCCCGCCCTCCTGCCTCGGGGCGCAGGAGCTGAGCTGACCGGAGCCGCGGGCCGGGGGTCAGGAGGCAGGTGGGAGCCTGGGGGCGGGCACGGAGCCCCCGGGCAGGCCAGTCCGGTTGCTCGGCCACCGCCAGGCCACGAGGGGCAGCCACGCAAGGCTCCGTGGCCGGGTGCAGCCGAGGCCAAGCCGCGCCTCTCCCCACCATCCTGTCCCGCCCCGCCGCCCACACAGCGCTGACCCTCGCGGGGAAACTGAGGTGCCCCGCCCGCGGGCAGGGGAGGGGCGTGAGGCGCAGGCCCCGTGGCCACGGGGTCCCCCCCACTGCTCACCATCCCAACGGGGGGCGGGGTCTGGGCCCAGGTGGGCTTCACCCCCACGGCCGGTGCGTGTGCCCCGGGGAGCAGCT